GGATTTGAGGGGCAAAGTTGTTCGCATAGTCGTCCCAGTTTTTGTTTCCATCGTAGTTTGAAGTTGATCAGTGGTTGTTGAAATGGCACAATTAGTACCAAAACTACAATCGTGTTTACGCAACCAAAACTCAATCGAATTCCGCGCAAAAAGATGTCTATTTGAATATCTTTGAACGCCTGGGGCGCATCGAAAGTATAAATGTGGTAAATGATGTTTATCGCTCCTCGATTATTAAGGTAATCAATAAATCCCACTGTTTTTTAATCAATTGAACTTTTTTGTCTCTAAGTTTTAACAAACGTGTTAGCATCATTTTTTCTAATCATTGTTTCCGGTTCTTTTAAAACACCATGATGATGCTCAATTGATTCAGAGACCGTTCTCAAGAAACAAAGTAAATGTAGGATAAACTCCTTTGGTTCTTTTGCTGTCTTCGTCCAAATTCTTATAAACAAAAAACTTTCAGGGTTAATTCACTTATTTTTCTCAGCATTTTTAGTGTTACCAATCCGCAGAACAATTTTTTTCCCTATCGAACACTTTCATGCTGTCATTGTCCAAGTTTTTATCTGATTTTCAAAAACAAACACGGAATGGAGATTTTGCGCTCTTGGCGTTTTTTTTCTCATAATTTTTTTAAAAATTAGCAAGCAACTTTCGAGGGAAATTCTTAAAATCAACTGAAATATATTGGCGCCATCAGCTCAAAATTGAAAACCGACACCTTTTTTGGGCTTGAAGTTAATTTAAAATTAACAAGTTTTGAAATGCGCCATTTTGACCAATAAGGAACGATTAGTGCTCCTATCCCCTTTAATGTCGTTTCAAGCTAAATTAATCGATAAAAAACAAAAAAGCGAAGTAATCGATTACTAAAAGAAGTATAAAGGAAGTTGACTTTAGAAGAAGACACTTTACTAAGACAGATTTCAAAAGCAAGCAATAGCATAGCCGAAACAATGAAATGTTACAAATTGTCAAACAGCTATAAGAAAGTAGACCATTTTGTTAAACAGTCTGATTCAAAGGCGAAAATTTGAAACAGAGACAAAGTGGTCCCTTGGGTACGAAATTTAACGGAGCGACCGAAAATCAGTACTAAATATCTACAATCCCGAAATGGTTAAGTTGGTGGCAATTAATGTGTGTTGTATTATCTTGCTTGCCCCATCTTCAGGCTGTCTCGTCTAATCGATACAATCGCAAAAAAATCCAAATGAAATTTACTTCAGATGAATATACGTCTATTACAGAAGGCTCTGAGTGGCCAGAATATAATAATCTAATATTCAAATCAAAAGGAAAGGGTCCGCGATTTATCAGCACAAATGTCTTATTCTAATTTGAATTCCAACTGACTCCACTAGACTCTCTCTGTAGAGAATCCTATTTTGATCAACACACAGTAATTTCATGCCACCACTCAGTTTGGCCTGCTAAGATTAATAGTGTCTATACAGACCACTATTCCTTTGAGGTACTTTAATTGATGATTTGGTCCAACACCGTCCAACTCCAATGTTTACCGTCCAACTCCAATGTTTACCCTCCAACTCCTTATCTTTCTTTGCATTTAATTTTAGTCAAGTCAAGCCATTTAATATCAGTTCTGGCATCTGCTTAAATCACCCGTTTGCACAAGGTTTAAGACCATGTCCCTCCCCTTGCCAACTCGGTTCTTTTATCAATCTTTTTACAGTTTCTTTTATCGGTTTCTTCTATCAATCGTTTTACGCTTATTAGATACCCGGAGTGCGGAAGATGTCATAATTCGACCCTGCAAACAAAAGTAATACGATTCTTATCAACTAATTCTTGACCTCTGTGAACTTCAGCCCTCGAGTTCAACTCAACCTCCAAACCATGTTATGTTTGCTCAGTGACCATTCCAAGGTTTTTATTTTACTTATCCCGTTAACAATCCGACCTCCCAGGGGTACGGGGAGACATTTTTCATGTGTAGCTACTTCATTTTAGCCATATAAAGGTTCTTTCTGTACTCGATTCCAATCCCGACCTTCTAGCTACCAGGGGAACGTAGCTCGTCTATTAGGGCCAAATTTATACCAGGAAGTCACCTCCGGGAAGCCAAGTAAGCCCCCCGTCTGTTCCTACTATTTAGGAAACTTAATGATCATGCTGCGGTCTATTACTTTCCTTTGACTACTTTTCTTGGATCTAATTGAACTGCTATTAATAGATCATTTGCAAGGCTAAACTGAACCCAATGTTTACAATGTCCAGTTTTAATTAATTCTACTACTCCATTGTTGCAATGTAGATGGCCATGAACTTTTGCTCCACTCTCCATCGATAAGTTTCCTTCCACTTATTAGTAAGTTGACTAGTTCATACCTCCAGGATTGAACTGGATTGAGCTGGAGAATATGCCACTTTCCGGTGTTATTCTCGGGGTTTCCTATGCATTTTTGGAGTCAAAATGCCCAAATATCAACTTAAGGTCAACCTGGAAACACTCGGGGTCAAACTTCCATGTTTGAGTTAAAATTCCATTGGGGTCCTAACTACCTAGTTTCATACATACCTAATTAAATTTTTCCAAGTTATCCCATTTCTAACGTCTAATAAGTTGGATACATTTTACTCTTTGAGGGTCTTTTTCCGGTTTCGTATCTTATGTCTATTGCCGCAAAAAATCTTTAATGGAGCGTGCACTATTTTGCGTGAATAGCCTATTTCCGGTCTGAGGGGGACTTTTTTCAAGTTCTGATAGCTTCCGATCCAACTGTTGGAAGTGGTTCATATTACAACACAATTACAATTGTACTTTGCCATTGCTTATCATCCCTGTAAGTTTCAGCTTCCTGTGCTCATTAGAGGCCAAGAAAAGACTTCCGGACGTTGGGGTGGGTTTGTTTTCTTAAGGCTTATAACCGGAAGTGGGGGTCGTAGGGATGTGGGTTTCCAAACTTCAGCGTTCCTCAACTAGACCTACAACATATTAAATATTGAGCCCAATACCGCAGCTAGTTTCCGAATTCTGATTGTGCCATTCACACTTCCGACACTATTATCACTTGCTCCCAAGGGTCGGAGGATTACCGTTTTTGATATGCCAGGGTCAAATCGTCTCTGCTATAGCTCCTCTGAACTTGTCAACATTAAATTCCTTAGTTCCGATTTGCATTTTGTCAATTTTTATTTTCTAGCAAGTGAGGTTCTTTGAATGTTGAACTATTTTGAACTCGACCCTTCGTTTGCTGTAATACTTAATGATGGCTCAATCTTACGCTCAAGTTACTATTAGCTTTACCATACTGCATGCAAGTCCCAAGGTAATAAACTCTACGTTCCTTTCTTATTTTGTTGAAAGTGCATTAGGATCACCGATCCTACTAGTAGCGTGCCGAGGGGGGAGGGGCGGAAGGGGGTGATTCCTTTTCTTCAAGTCTGATTGCCAAAATTCTCCAAAGGGACTAACTTTGGTATAATTTTATGAAATCTATTTTTTCGGTGAACAATCTCAAAATTTTTGCAAAGTCGCTTTTGCTGCCAATACGACTAATTTTGACAGGGAAGCGGACTCCAAAAAACGCAATTTTTTGGTCAAAATTTTTCAAAAAGTGCCTGAAAATTCCTTCTTTGGCCTTTTCGATAAAAAAATTTGCCTGCGGTGCAGAATTATTTTCACAAACTAGGTTTCTTATACTATTTCAGGTAAGCTCTGCTCGGGAAATCAAATTGGTCTACCAAAAAAAAATGTTCGACAAAATTTTCAAAATTTTTCGATAATTATTCCACCTCAGAAAACTTTTTGCACACGCCACTAATATCAGTTTTTTGGTTAAACAAAAATGATGAAACTGTTTTTTTTTGCTTACTTGTGTGTACACAAGTCCGGATATAGGATTTTCTCGTGGGGGGCGGATTTTCAAAATTTTTGTCGACCTTTTTTTTACTAATTGATTTTTCGAGCTCTCCCAAAGCATTGAAAAATCTATTTTTGGACTTATTTTCTGCGCCGCAGGAAAACCTTTGAAAAAAATTTGCCAAAAAAAGGGTGCGTTACCAGAAATGGGTCCATTAGAAAAATTTTAGGGTCCGTCACCAGAAATGGATATATCACCCTGAGGGCTGGGGGGGGGGGGGGGGTGGGATTGTTTGCCACCATCCACCGCCCCCTAAATCCCCCACTCCCACCGCCCCCCCCCCCCCCCCCCGTCTAATTCCGCCTCTGGGTGTACATGATAAAGATAAGCAGGATTCACTGTCAATCGTCTTGGACTACTATCACCAATGTGGCGCTTTCAAATTTTCATGTTTATGATATACATACGTTTTACTAAATTGAACACTTTCAAGTTACCATTTACCCAAACTTGCAAACTTGTTCCAGTTTTTCAAAAAAAAACGGAATTGGCGAACTTGTGCTCGGGTTGGTTTTTTGCAGACAATTTCGAATGGCAAAAAATGTTGCAGTTTTTCGCTGGTTGTTTCTATCCTGTGAAAAGTATTGACGCCTTGTCTTTAATTTGGAAAATTATTTCGGCTCTTTTCCAGTGTTTGCTCTACCTTTTGATTTTTTCTCAAATGCATTTTACAAATATATATCTTAATATCTGTGATAAAATGAGTGAACATGTAAAATGAACAGATTTTTAGCAAATTTCTTACATACAAATTGCCGTATGACAATTTTTCCCGGAGTTTTCGATGTTTCATCTGCGAGCCGTTATTTCAACTGCCACAATTTTTTCTCACTTTTCCTCAGATTCCTCAACATTGACCAGTTTGCAAAAAAGCTCTCAGTCAAACAAAGATCCCGGGTTGACCTCCATACACCGAAAATGCTTGTCATACAATTTCCATTTATGGAAAAATGCTTATCATAGAGTTTTCATACAATTTTCTGTACGTATGGAATTGTATGAAATTGTATGAAAAGAAATTTCCCATTTATGACAATTGTATGATAAGCATTTTTGGTCAACCCGGGATAACTACAACAAAATGTCTTCAAATATTCTGGCAAGGTTTTAGAAAATGCAAAAGAACCCTCCTTTCATCCAAAAGTCAATGAATATTACATGTGGCAAAACCATGACAATCCAGAAGAACAGAATAGCAGCAAAAGCTTTAGTTAACAGTCCTTTTCGAGTGATAGTTGACTTCTTCAATGTGATAGCACATCTGATGTATAGATAGGCGCACAAAACAATAACAACCAGAGAAATTGGCAACCCGGGTCTTAGGTTCTGCTGAATTTTATATCGAAGGCAGTTGGCGCATGTCGAAATACCATCAGAAATGTCTTTTTTGTTGTCGGTTCGAAACTGAAAGATGAAAAAAAAACAGTTGGAAATAAATTGGAAATCAGTTGATAATTTGCTAAAAAGTTTGCAATGAAGGTAAATCATAATTTCGTGTTTGACAATTTTTCCGTCAGAGCTTTTTTGTTTCATTGGTGTCATTGGTGCACGAGGCCAATTGGAATCCAGAGACAAAACTTTAAAACTGTTTCCAAATATAAGTGAATCATATTTACAAATTTCCCTGCTTCAGCTCTCAAATACGGGTAACGTAAGCTTTGACGTCGTATTAGTTTTCTCGCGGATTCTTCAACATGCAAATATAATTAGTTGTTCCGGATTCAACACATGAAAACGCCTTCAGCAAATTTTAAGCGGACTCCGGCCGTGTTGTATGCGGATTCCGCTTACTTTTTGTGGACTCCACTTACAATTTTTGCATTCGCTTACTATTTGCAGATTCCCCTGACAACGTATTTACAAGACACATATAATAATACTTTTTTGGGGACTCCACAAACTGTTTCCGATTCCACGAACCAAAAAAAAACAAAGAAGATAAGAAACTACCAATATTGCGGATTCAGCGACAAAAATGTTTTCTGCCTGTTGCGGACTCCAACACATTTTACAAAATACACAGTTTGGCCTCGCAAGGAACAGCTTTATTAGGAAAAAAGTTATTGAAATTGGTACGTATTTAGTGCATTTTTCATTTTTTAAAAACTTCTCAACAACTCTTACGCATGATGAAAGTTGCCGAGAGTTGGCTAAATTGTCCGCTATGTCCGTGTTTTATTGTTTTCGTTAAAGACAATTGTTGAGCCAATAACAAACCAAACAATGTAATATCAATGTGCCAGATCTGTTTTGCATTTTGTGACTAAAAGTTGACTGCATCAATGCGCAAAGTTCGCTCAATTTACACTTCGACTACAATCACAAAGTCAAAACACCAAAACCGAATGTGTTCCAGAAAGTCAAAACAAACTCAAAGTTTGTTGAGAAAGGCAAAACATAAGACAAACACAGTCGTCATTAATAAAATGTTAATACTTGAAGACCTATGTACAAATGAATGTACATAAACTTAAAAGAATAAAACTATTAAATGGAAGTAAGTGAATTAAGAACGTTCTAAAATACAACTGAGCTTTGTCTCGTATCGACCAATGGTCGTAACTAAATTGGTTAACAGGTATTAATTAAATACCGAAGGTCATTTAAGACACTAAAACAAGTCACAATATTTCCCACCGGGAAAAAAATAAAACTGCATACTAACTAACTAATTCTAAATACACCTTTTTCCCCCTTCGAGAATGAACAAAATTTTACAAACTGCGCCATGAAGGTAAAAATACAGCAAACAAAATAGTATCCATAATTGAGAGAGAATGTACAATGTACAGGGTGAATATACAGAATAAAATAAAACAACTAACCAAACTAAAACTAAGCCAACGGTAATCCACACATGTACATTAACATGTACAATTGTATTTACAGATAGCTACTAAAATCATAAGGTAAGGTATGGATAAAGTTTTTGCTTAATTTGGTACGAATTAGTTAAATTGGTCGTCAAAATGATCGAGTTTTGCTCTAATCTCCGAATCAATAGTTTGGGAAAATTTGCTACAGTTGTCTAACTCGTACGGATAATCCTTAGTGGTCTGATAAGCTGAGAGCGAGCCCGAGGAATTTTCGTTAAAGAAGGTCTTCATTGGTGAATTTACTGGTCTGACCGAAGGGAGAGAATTCTTTGATGACCAGGTTAATGTTGTTTCCGCAATAAGTGTTTGTCAGGGAGGAGCCTCCGCTAATGGTGTCAAGAAATCTGACGGTGATGAGACCGTGAAAGTTGCCCAGGAAATTCCGGGTGGGGTAGACTATGAGGGGGGGGGGGGGGGGGGGGGGGTGAAGTCCCTGTGTCATCGTTTTCCAGGACCACGCCAACAAAGCGATGATTTCCGTAAAAATGTGGAGGTCCCACATTCCTGCGTGGTCTAGATTGTCTTAGTTGTATCGTCGGGTTGACAGTAAAATCAGGAACACTATCTATCAGTATAGTGTTTTCTTTGACGATCTCCCTGAGGTCGGTGTGTACTGCCATTTTTGAGCTTGAGTGTGGGGAGTCGACGGTACCTGTAACACTTTAGCCCTGGTTAGATTCTTGGTGGTTCTGGGGTAGGTTATTATTGGTCACATCTTCGAAATAGTCGTCAGTTTTCCCGTCCTACGAATTTAGGTTTAATGAGGATGAGGAATCTGAAGAATTTCGAGAGGAGTCTTGAGTGGCCACGCTCACGGTCGGTGCACCAGTCCATGCTCTGTTTGTGTTAGCTCCTGAGGTGCCTTGTCTCGAATGCCCATAGGGTGTTGTAACTGATTTCTTTGGTGGTGAGAGCTTCCTTTTTTCCAGCTAAACTCGAATGGGTATGAAGTTTATGCCCGGTGGGTGTCTGGTTCACTATTATTTTTTAGGCCCAGGGAGTATTTTTCCATTGATAGCCAGGTCTGATCTACGTAACACGTGGCCGTGTCAAGGGTTATGGTGTGTTCGGAAGTGTCGATTTTATCCCCCTGAACCAGATTAAAATATGGGTGCCTACTTTTCCTGTTAGAGCCCTTTCTATATAAATTACCTCCAATGACTGCGTTTTTTAGAGAGGTTCTGGAGCTTGTTTGATATCGTCTGCGTTTGTATTTGTAGTGACCGTCCTAGCTAGCGGCAGGTTGTCTTCTGAGTCTGAGGTGTTGTCCTTTTCCTCATCCAGGTATGCGTCTTCTGCCCCGTCGTGGAGTTCCCAGTTGTTGGCCCGATGTTTCGACATGATAGCTTTCCCTTTATCTAAATGATCAATATCGGACAAAAAATTTTCCACCTAGTGTTCGCTGTTCTATTAAAGTGTTTCTCAAAAGGGGTACAGCCGATAGCGGGTTGTTTCGAAATTCTCAAATACCAAATGATTTTCTCAATCGACTCGATTAGTGATGGCTTTGGTAATTCGAACGACATTGCCAGTAGTTTCGATTTGACGTGTAAACTAATCTTTCCACTAGCCCATTGGATTTGTGATCGCCGACTGTACTGTAAATAATTTCAATCTTGAATTTTTCGCAGAAATTTTTGAAATCATGGGATAAGAAGCATGACCCATGGTCGAATCAGATTTTTCTTGGGAACCCGTGTAGATGACAGTAATCGTTTAAGAAGGAATTGACATTTTCGTAGAGGTGTTGTTAACGATTTTGGCCGAAGGGAACTTTGTGTAGCGGTCAAAGCACAGAAGATTGTATTTATTATTACCCCAGAACGCATCTAACGGTCCCGTAAAGTCCAGATTGATTTCGTCATTCTGGAGTATCAACTTCGGAAGTTTCGAAATATTATGGGTACCTAGTAACACTTTATGTTCTTACCAGCTTTTAAACACTGACTACACGTTCTCCCGTGGTGGTAAATTTCTGAATAAATGTGCGGCCACCACAAGTATTTGGCAAGTGATTTCATCCCAAACTGTCCTGGATGAAACTCATGGAGCATCGAATTGAAGGTTCCCCTGATGATAGCTGGAACGACTAATTTGTTATCGAGAAAAAGTAAATTGTCCTTCACGTGTAGATCTTTTGCATAAATTTTCATGTAAGCTCCGTATATGCCCATTGGTCGATTTGTCTTTATCGTCTCAATCAAGTCCCACAGCACTTTATCTTCCCTGGTCATAATTTGCAACAGTTTCTTTGAGCAGTGGTTTTCAGGGCGAATAGGGGAATTGGGAAGATTTAATTCCGACTTGTATCTTCTTAAGAGGCCCGCGTGGTCGGGTGAAAGTCGGTCATCTCTGGATTTGAGAGCGATATTATGTTCTTCGGGGATGATCAGTAGTGGTTCAGTAGCTTTCTCCATAGGGAACTCTAGCCGTTTTTTGGAAGATGGTAAAAATTGTCTGTTTTCTAATGAATTCTCTAGCCGGGATTGTAATAACTCGAGAGTAAGTATTTACAGCGACCGTATTTACAACGCTATTATATCTACAGTATTTACAGTTATACATTTAGAATGTAGTTTATTCAATAAAAATTTCTGAATTTTATCGATTTAAGAGACTACAAATTCGTCGTCATAGTGAGAAATTGGGAGGGTTTTGCCCAAAAGAAGTCTAGATAAAAGGTCCGTAAAGCACATGTCTTTTCCCGGTAAATGGGATATTTTAAAATTGAATGGTATAAGTCTGTTCACCTAACGGGTCAATCGACTGTGCATCGTTTTGTGCCCGTGCTTTGCTGAGAGTGCTGATAGTAATGCTTTGTGGTCTGTTACTATTTGGAATTCAGTTCCATACAAGTAGTTTCTAAAATGTTCTGTTGCCCATACAACTCGTAACGACTCTAATACTTTGGTAGAATACTTCATTTCATGGTTATTCAAAAAATCTCGACGCGAACGCGATTGTTTTCCACTGGTCGCCCTGTAGCTGTTCTAGGTTGCACCAGTCCGTTGTCTGAATCGTCTGTTTTTAGTCTTGTCTTCTTTTTTATATCAAAGTGACTGTTTTCTGTGATTTTTACAATTTCCGCTTTTAAATTCTCAAACGCTATAGAGTGGTCATATTCCCATTTGTGAACCGATTTTTTATTTAGAAGAGGACGAAGGGGAGAGCTTAGGGTCGATAAATTAGGGACGAAATTTACATACTGGTTTATCGAACCGAAGAACGAGCGTAATTCGGAAATGTTCTTGGGTATTGGCAAACTTTTTATCGCGTCTGCTTTACCGACCAAAGGTCGTACTCCATCGCCGGAAATTTTGAAACCAAGCCATTCGATATCTGATTTAAAGAATGCACATTTTCCCCATTTAACTGCCATATTGTTCTTATCTAATATTGATAAGATTATATACACTATTGTTTTATGTTCTTCCAAAGATCCCCTTGAGGCTAATAGGATTTTAACTATGTAACAATTTGTGAAAGGGATATTTTCCAGCAGTGAGTCCATAACCCGTTGGAATTCGT